CTTTCATGCCCCATCTCTGGAAGTGTTTAAGGTTGGACGGGGCTTGGAGCAACCTGGGCTGGTGGAAGGTGTCCCTGGATGGGCTTTGAGGTCCCTTCCAACCCAAACCAGTCTGGGATTCCACGACTCTGTGTTTTTGTGATTTAAAATAGCCCTGGCAGCAAAAAAAAATCCACGTGAGAGGAAGAAAAACAGAGTCTTCAGCAACATGAGCAAGGTCAGAGCAGAACAAACCAAACCAGCACCGTGAGCAGGAAAACTGGGAGGAGAACACGGAGCCAGGGGCTGCTGGGGGGGAATAAAGGCATTATTGGGAGCATCTGGCCTTGACAGACCAGCACAGGTCATGGAAAAGCAGCTAAAAGGGAAAACAAATTGTTTATTATGTAAAAAAAAAAAAAAACAGTTAAAAATGTGCTGGTTACTCTGGTTCTGGTCAGTATTTTGGGTTTCTTTTTTGACGGAACAGTTTTACAGGGAAAGATTTTTGATGCTGAAGCACCTCAGAATATTTGAATGTCTTTTTTTAACCTCCAAGTTACAGAAATTCAAACCCTTCCGTTTCAAACACATTTTAATATGACAGGATTTATCAGTCTAAAGAAACTGAAACATTTCCACTTTGGTTTTTGTCCTGCTTAGGAGGAAAATACACTTTGACGTGCCCAAATGAAAATCATATTTGACTATTGCTCCCAAGTATCTCCGTGTGGTACCTTCCTCCTGCAAATCAGCTGCAGAAAAGGTCACATTGCAAATGTTGTGTGTGATGAAACAATATGTGAAGGAGAATTCCTCAGGGGAGCCCCTGACATTAATGGGACGTGGAAAATGCTGCACTAATATGCTGAAATTGGGGGTGATGTCTCTTATTTGGGTGTTTTTTTTAAGGTATTAAAGGGCAGCAAAGTACCCCTTAAAGCAACTTCTTCAATAAGTGTGTTTTTAGCCTATTGAAAAAAAAAAAGAGAGGAGAGAGGAGAGGAAATATGGGCTGAGGATTAATAGGAAATTTTAGGGATTGTTCACAACTTTCATTAAAAACAAGTAAGAGACATTTGAAAATCAGTACAATCATAATTCCATCCATTTTTCTCTTCAGACAGGCCCTGCCTGCACAATATCTCTGCGAAATTCCAGGCTGTATTTTCAGTTCTTACCATTATTTCCATGGATGAGGAGTTTCCTCGCCCTACACTGCCCTGGATTTTTCAAGACAAAGCCTTAACAACACATTTTTTTCCTATTACTGTATTTTTTTCTATTTCTATGTTTTTTCTATTTCTATATTTTTCTATTTCTCTCTTTTTTCTATTTCTATATTTTTCTATGTTTTTTTATTTCTATATTTTTTTATTTCTATATTTTTTCTATTTCTATAATTTTTTCTATTTCTATAATTTATTTTTCTTTCTATTTCTCTAATTTATTTTTCTATTTAAATTGCTCTCCTGGTTTCCACTGCAACCACCAGCTGGGCTGAGTGAGCTCTGGAACAATCCTGAGGGGGACTGGGATATTCAATCCTGCATTTTAAGAGCTATTAAGATGTTAAAAAATTAATAATGGACTCTCTTCCCACTGGTAATACCTTGAACTTTGTCTCCTGTCTGTCAATCTTGAGAGTATTGTCTGTCAAATAGTTGTAAGGAATTAATTACAAAGCCAAGGCCATTTTATCTGGGAAGGACTTTTCCTGGCACATATGGAAAGAAATGCCTATAATAATGATAATGATAATAATAATAATAATAATAATAATAATAATAATAATAAATGTCTCTTTCCAAAATGATGCTGTGGCTGAGCAAAGCAGAAAAGAGCAAATAATGGTTAAATAGTTGCTTTCTAGATAAAGAAAAGCTTAGGATTTCTTAGAGGACAAAAGAAAGGGAATGCTGCCTGAAAAAATATGCAGTTTGACAGTAGGAATCAAGACAATCTGGATTTTTTTCTATTTTTAAAGAGGGTTTTTTTAATCATTGTATTTAAATTTTCCCTGGGACAGGTGCCTCTAAATAAAAAATAATATTTTCTTCCTTTTGGAACTCATAAATGAAATGTTTTAGCACTTATTTTTATTTTTTTTTTGGCTGACCACGCTTGCCCGAATTTCTCATTTGACGAGTCCGAGAGATTTCAAACTTGGTGGAGTTTTGGGCTTCTTTTTTTTTTTAAAAATGATAAATCTCAAATCTGATACGGGAGCTAATGGTGCTGGGTGCCAACAAGCCAACTTTATTCCTCTTTTGTGGGCTTTTAGGTGCCCATGATGATACAGATATTTATTGTTTAGACATATGATGCTCTGTCCCCTAAGTTTGTACAGCAGAAATGGTTGTGCCTTATCTGTACGAGGAAAGCTGCACTAAACTTGATCTCAACTGTAATTATTTTTCTGAAGCACCCTCCTAAATTCTCAGTGTTGCCACTGAACTCCTCTGGCTTTGCCATTCTCGCCACGTATTCCAACCCACCCGAGATCTTCCTGCCCAGTCTGGGGCTGAGACGAGGGGTTTATCATCCCTGCAGTGCTGCTGCTGCAGGAAAATCTCATTATGATTTCCCAAAGAACTGGAGCGATTTCCAGGCAGTGCAGTCACATTTGGGGCTGAGGGGGAGCTGCCCTGCAACATTTGACCTTCCCAACAGGCTGGGCAGGACTTGGGCACTTGTGATTTAATGGGCTTGGAGGGCTGGGGAAAGGAGGCATTTAAATTGGGATCCCATTTATTGCACCAAGGGTAAATTGGCAAATTTATAACGGGGGACTGGTGCCTCTTCCCCCTCCTCCCCTCGTGGAAAGGTGTGGAATAAAAAGGGAACACTGAAATAAATCATGCTGCCCAAATGGAAACCAGGACCTGAGCTTGGAACCAAAAACCCCAATGAGATCAAGGGGCACTTATAATAAAAATTTAGGGGTGAGGGATCAACCCTCAGCATATCAAATCCTTGTCCCTTCTCCCTGCCCAGAGAAATTATAGTTTGAACCAAGCCAGGCTTAATATTTATTTATCCTCAGTCTTCCAGTAATGTTTTCAGAGCTGGTATCTTATTCAAATTGTCAATGTTAATTAAGCCAACAGCTGTGATTATCTCTTGCAAGAGAAATGCATCACAAGGCATGAGAAATACAAGTTATGAGAAATAATAACATCACAAGTCATGAGAAATACAAGTTATGAGAAATAATTACATCACAGGGCATGAAAAATACAAGTCACGAGAAATAAATACATCACAAGGCATGAGAAACACGAGTTATGAGAAATAATTACATCACCAGTCAAGAGAAATGCATCACAAGTCAAAATGCCTTGTAGAAAAACAAAAAAAACCCCAAAACAACCAATCAAACCCTACTGTTTGATATCTAGAATTCTGGGTTCATTTTTATTCACTTTAGTGGGCTTTTCTTTTGGGATTTTGTTCTTTAGAGCACACGTGGGTGTGCAAATTATCAAATAAATACTAATATTGCAATTAGCAAAGGCAAACTGTGGCAGCTGTGAAGTGCCCTGAGCACTTGGATTGCAAAGGGGATGATCTCCACAGAGCTGATGTTAGTCTGTGTGAAACCCACTTTATTTGGGTGCTTTTTAGGTGCAGGATGGGGATTAGAAAACTCTCCTGCTTCCCGTGGCTCCAGTGAGGGTTGTTGCATCTCTGAAGTAGCCAAGAGTACCACAAACATTCCCTGCAATCCCTCTACACCAAGTAGTACCCAGACAGTTTAAATCCACTTTATCTGGGTGCTTTTTAGGTGCAGAATGTGAATAAATGGGAATAAAATGAAAATGGAGTGTTCTAGAAGTCTAGGAAGTTCTAGAAGAAATAGTGATAAACCACTAAAACCAGTATTGCTTTCCCACATTTCCCATTCTGAATTTTCCTTCAAAACAAGGGATTTTGTTTGCAAAGAAAAATGGGCAGAATATTTTTTTTAATTCCTTTTTTTTTCAAAGCTTGGCCTTTAACTCATATTTCTACTCCTTTTGTTGTCTGTATTTCTCTCCTCCTGTGCTGCATCCAGTGCCTGGTGCAGTTTTGGGTTCCAGTTCCTCACCAAACCCTTTCTGTTTCCTCAAAATATAATCGATATTTCAAAGAAATCTATTCAAATAACAAGTCCAGGTGTATCAACAAGCACTTATCAAGTCTGTAAAGACTCTCCTGCTCCATGGGAAGTGAGGATTGTTGCATCTCTGTAGCAACCAGGACTACATGAACGTTCCCTGCAATCCCTCTACACTGAGCACTAAAGAACTACAAGCTAAAGGGTCCATTTTTGTTGTTTTGCTGCTGGAGAAGTGATCAATGGCCAATATTGTTGGTTTAAAATGCCGTCAGCCACGTAATTTAAGCAAAGCTACAAATAATGTGGTTTCCCCTGGACTCAGCGCTGGGGAGGCCACCCCTGGAGTGCTGTGTCCAGCTCTGGGCCCTCAGCTCAGGAAGGACATGGAGGGGCTGGAGCAGGGCCAGAGAAGGGCAACAAGGCTGGGGAAGGGACTGGAGCACAAGTACTGTGAGGAGAGGCTGAGGGAGCTGGGGGGGCTCAGCCTGGAGAAGAGGAGGCTCAGGGGAGACCTCCTCACTCTCTGCAACTCCCTGACAGGAGGGGGGAGCCGGGGGGGGTTGGTCTCTTTTCCCAGGCAACCATCAGCAAGACAAGAGGGCTGGGTCTGCAGCTGTGCCAGGGGAGGGTTAGGTTGGAGATTAGGAAGAATTTCTTTGCAGAGAGGGTGCTCAGCCATTGGAATGGGCTGCCCAGGGAAGGGGGGGATTCTCCATCCCTGGAGGTTTTTAAGCAGAGACTGGATGTGGCATCAGTGCCATGGGCTGGGAACCACGGCGGGGTTGGATCAAGGGTTGGACTGGATGATCTTAGAGGTCCCTTCCAACCCAGCTGATTCTGTGATTCTATTCTATGATTCTATGATTCTATGATTCCATGATTCTGTGATTCAGTTGTGTGACACCTGCAGGCTGGAGCTCGGCTGAGCCCAGCAAACCTCCCAGCAGTGCCCTGGGATGAGCTCCGGGAGATTTTCCCTGTGCCATGGGCTTGACACGAGCTGAAAACTAATCAGACCTGTAATGCACATTGGAATCCATCTCTTTTACTGCTGGAAACCTCAGAGAGATGTGTGAGTGCTGTAAGAAAATGCTTCTGAACACCCCCCCACCCCACCCCAGTTCCTCAGTGCCTTTGCCCACCTCAGATTTTGGTGCAAACTGAAGGTTTTAACATTTGGGAAAGGAAAAAAAACTCACCACACCTGACCTCCTGCCTTGTGCTGTGCTCTGGAGTTCTCTGGTTTAGCAATATTTGGAGTTTTTCCTGCTCTCACTGCCCTGACCTGCCCCCCTGTGTGGCCTGGGTGACCTCGGGGTGGGTACAGAGTGTAATTGAGTTTCCAGGGAAATCCTGAGATGGTCCCATCTGTTGGGAGTGCAGAGTACCAGGAATTGCTACTTGCTGAAGCTCTGGAGTTCGTTCTTGTCAGAACTCAGCTGAGTTAAGCACGAGCACACAGTGCAGGGCTGCCAAATCCCCCATTTGGACCCTCCCCAGCATTTTGGGGTCAGTCTGCCCATGATTTCCCCGAGTTCCTCAAAGGTGAGGCCGCAGGAGCAGCTCCCCTGCTGGGGACTGGGTGTATTAAATTACCAAGGAGTCATATGTGTGTGTGCTTTAATTTGTAGCTTTGCTTAAATTACGTGGAGTCCTTCAAAAGGGAAAAAAAAAAAATCAATTTGCCTTTGGCAGCTGTCTCCACGATGCTGCCAATCACCAGAGGATCTTGGCTATTTTTAAGTCTCCTGAAATCAGTCTGCATTAAGGCAATAGCTGTGCTTGGATTTAAGCCCAGGACTCTATCAATATAAAATGATTTGTTGTAAGTTTAAAGATGCTTCATCCCTATTCTCTCTCTTTTCATTTACATTTTAAGCTTTCATCAAACCGTGGATCAACAATACTAATAGAGCCCTTTTTTCCTCTCTCCTGCTTCACACTTTTTCTGCAAAGAACACCTGAGACTGTGTGTTCTTCACCTCAGCCTGACACGAGGGGGGTTTCCCCTCTGTTCAAACCAGAAGGACCCGTTTGCTCCCTGAAGGATCCCCCCGTGAGTCTTTCCAGCCTTGTGCCACTTGAATGTTTTCCAGTCAAGTTCTCAGGGATGGGAAATGTGTGATTAAGAGAGTGATGGGAAGCAAAAAGGAGATGATCCTTCATGCAGCGGGAATGGAAATAACCAGTAAAGGAGAGATTTTGTTTTCCCCAGTCTAAGACTGAGGTTTGCAAAGTGCAAAGTGCTTCAGACCACAAGGACAGGACAGGACAGGGGGGAATGGCCTTAAGGGTTGGATGGGATACTGGGAAGAAATCCTTCCCTGTGAGGGTGGGGAGGGGCTGGGCTGGAATTCCCAGAGAAGCTGTGGCTGCCCCTGGATCCCTGGAAGGGTCCAAGGCCAGGTTGGAGTAACCAGGGATAGTGGAAGGTGTCTCTGCCCATGGCAGGGGGTGGCACTGGATTACTTTAAAGTCCCTTCCAACCCAAACCTTTCCATGATTTTATGATTCTATCTGTGATATTGGACTGGGATCATTTGCTTCCAGCAGAACCCGTTGATGAGGCAGGAGATGATCTCCAAGGTCCCTTCCCACTCAAACCATCCCATGTTCTTGCCCATCTCTGGCAGCTCCAGCTCCATCCCACCAGCAGCACTGGGGGTCTCAGACCCTCCTCAGCTCCAGCCCAGAGGCAGCTGAAAGACTTGGGTTTAACCTGTCACTGTAATGGATTTAAATGCCAGGGAGTGGGGTGAGATGGGATTTGGGGAAGGGATTCTTCTCTGGGAGGGCGGGGAGGGGCTGGGATGGAATTCCCAGAGCAGCTGTGGCTGCCCCATCCCTGGAAGTGTCCAAGGCCAGGTAGGAGCAGCCTGGGCTAGTGGAAGGTGTCCCTGCCCATGGTAGGGAGTGGCCCTGGATGAGCTTTAAAGTCCCTTCCAACCCAACCCATTCCATGATTCCACTGACAGACCAACCCTGGATGCTCTGGGGACACTCACCTGTTCCCTGCAGTTGGGATGACATTTAGAGTTCAGTGTTCCCCAGAATCTGGGAGGGGAATGCTCACAAGGGGAATAATTGTGAATTTTTCCAATAATTAAGTTTCTCATGCCTAATTTTGCCATTCCCCTCTGTCCTTTCAGACTTGCCCACAGGCACGGTGTCCACCCATTTGCTGAGGGAGATTTCCCCAATGGAAAACCCACAGAGATTACCCCAAGGAAAACTGTGGAGAACTGCAGCCAATTAAGTCCTTAAATCACTTTGTGATTGACTAGAATAGTGTTAGATCTAAACTTACTTTAATAATAAATTAAAAAAAATCCAGATAATAATTATTGTTCAGATTCTCATTAGTAGAAGCCTAATTTCACTGCATGTTTTTCCCAGATTTCCTGGGATTTCTATGGCACCCCCCATCTTACAGAAGCCATTTGTATCCTTGGCCTGTATTTTGGCCTTTTTCTGAAATTTTTCAAGACATACGATCATAAAATAAATAAAATTAAAAAAAAAATTGAAAATAAACTTCTTACTTAATCTGTAAGGAAAAGATTGGACTTTTTTTTACAGCTTTGCTGTAAATATTGGTTAAAAATAGCTTAACAGGAGCAACTCTTGCTGTGTTGCAGCTAAATGTGATTTCTGACACGTATATGTAATTAAAGCAGAACTGTTTGATGTTTTCTGTGGCTGAGGGAGTGTCTGTAAAAACAAATATCAGTTCTCTTGCCTGTCCTGTCTCAATATCTGCACTAAATATTAAATATCACACAAGTCAAGATGGTCGGTTGTTGTTCAGCTCTTTTGTGCCTTCAGGGCACTTTGCAGTAGCATTAATGCCTCTGGAAAAGAAAAAAGAATAGGAAAAGTTCATTCTCCTTCTTTATTTAATTCTTTAAAGTTCCCTAATTTGTATAATTTCTGTCCTTTTTGGCACGGAGCCCTCTCCAGGCTGCAGCCCCATTTTCACTTGTGCCTTGGCATTTGGAGCTCTTTAGTTTATCAGCAGTGCAAGGAAAATCTTCCTGGAGACTTTCCATCAAAGCCATTTGGTGATGAAGGAGGGGAACATCTTTTCTGAGGCCTCAAAACGGGAGCCAGAATTTCCAAGTGAACTTCCAGTGCCCTTATTAATAGAGAAGTAATTTTTTTAGCATCACCCTGAGCTGGGGAAGGTGAATGTTGGGAATGGGGAGATTGATGTGATTTAGGGGAAGTTGTTTTTTGTTTTGATTCTTGATGCCAAGTACCTTCACCCAGGGCTGTAATCCCTGCTCCTGCCACTCTGCAGAGCTGGGGGAAGGTAGTTTAGACATACTGACTTCCACCAGGATGGTTAACTCTGGTCTAACTTCTGCAAAATCTAAGGTAGGGAGAAAAAAATGGCATTTTTTCCAAGCTCCCTGAGAGTGCCCACTGTGTAAACTGTGCTCCTCTGTTCCAGTCTTATCCTCTGTTCCAGTCTTATCTGACTTGTAAAAAACAGCCTTGAATTAATAAGATGCAAATGGAAGGGGGAGGAAAACCAGGTAGAGACCAATCATTGTCATAAAAATTGCCAAAAAGAATCAGCGTGTTCATAAAAGTGTCCAACGTTGATGTTGTGCTGCAGAACTAATAAAAGGGGTATAAACAGAATATAACCTTGAAATGAAATAAATACACCCTTGGAGGAGGAAGAAATAGTGCCTTGGGCCTTGTGCCAGACAAATGAGTGTCGGGTTCTAATTGCTCAGAGTGTGTTTGAGAGCCAAATGTCCAAATCCAGCTGTTCCTGCAAGCCCAGGATGTTCCCCCTGCCAGCCAGAGGCTGGGCTGCCATTTATCACCTTATTCCCTAACAATATGGATTATTGGATGTGGGGGCTGCCCTTTAGAGCCAAGGAGCTCGGCTGCATTAAAAAAGGCTTTTTGGGGCCAAGGACTTTTTCCCCTTGTCTTGCTCCCAACCTGCCTTCCAGCAGAGCAGGTTGGTGGGATAAAGTTTAACATGGAATCAAACACTTCTGCTTTCTTAGAGACGCTCCAGGTCTCTGTGGGAATGGGAATCAGAGATTTGTGTTGACATCCCAATGCCATCGTGTCACCTGCTCAGAAAAGAAACTATTTCCTGCAAGGAAATGCAAATTTTAATGATCACCTCCATACTTAGTTGTGCTATAAACGCAAGTCTCAGTAGAACACATTAGTGTATTTCCCATGGATTTGAAATATATTAACAAAGCATAAAATAGAAATTTTTTCCTGCCCCCAATGTGATTAGAGTTGTTTGTTTCTTTTTTTTTTTTCCAACCATGGGAAATTAAAACAAAGGGAAGAATGAGGATTAAAGCAGAGTGACTGACTTTGATTTTCAAGTGCTATTGGAGCAGAATTGCCTTTAGGTGGGCTGATATTTTTTGTGATTCAGCTGAATTTGAGATTGGGAAATTACCTGGGAAGGCAAGTTAAGGAAAGTTGGATTGAGACAGTGTGACTGAAAATACCTGGAAAGCAGCACAGAACTTGCTGTATTGATTTTAGGATCATTTGAATTTCATCTCTGTAATGAGATAGATGATGTGAATGGGAAGGACAGGAAAAAAGGGATCTAGAAGATGAAAATATTTAAATGCAGAGCAATAACTTCTTAAGGAGCAATTGAATCTTAATATCTGGCACTGCTTTTGTTTGCAAGCTGAATTCTGGGCCTCACCTAAGAGCAAATCTTACTGAAATTAAAATCCTTGTAACCCATTTCTGCTCCTGTTCAGCTTCACCAGCGCTGAGCAGGAAGATTTTAAATTCCCCAGGACAGTGAGGAACTCAGAATAAATAAAACGCACAAGGAAGATTAAATAAAATAAGTTTGCAGATTTGTAAGGCACTGATTATTCTGTTGTGGCCTTGGAGATGAGTTACACAAATCACTGGCTGCAGGACACGGGAAACCTTTGAATTGACACTTTTCTGAGGGCAGGAATTCCACTGTACATATTTTGCTGACTATTCCACTTATTTTCCTGATGCTTCCACATCTCCTTGCTGAAGCTGTGCTTTTTCAGATGAGATTATCCCTTTTCCTGATAACGAGGTGTCCCTGCACTCAGAGCCCCTCCCAGCCCCTGTTTAAAGGGGGCTGTTTCATCAGGGTAATGCACCAGCCAATTGACACATGTCCCCTTCCATCAATCCTGGGCTTTGATGGCCTAAAAGGATTACTGGGGAGATGAAGATTTGATGGATTGCCAGTTAAGCTGAAAGCTCATCTGTCTGCTCCTGTATTTTGGACTTGCCCAACTCCAGAGCCGAGCAGGGAGAGGCACCTGAGGCTGGGAGAGACTCTGGGACCTGCAGGGCTGGACCCTCCCTGGAGCTCTGCCACGATTAGTGCTGGGTTAAACACATTGCCCTTATTACACCAGCACTTCTTGTCTTGCTGTGCTGCAACATGATCATTACCTCATCAATTAAAGGCTGTTCCATGCTTTTATGGGAGTTCCCAGCACTTTCCACCTGCAGAGCTCTGCTTTGGATTCCAGCCCTGGGCTCCAGGTGACATAAACATTTAAGAGCAGTTGCTAAAGGACAGTGCAAAGGGGAGGTGCTTTGGAAAACTGAAGTGGGAAGGTCAGGGAGGAGATCAAAGGATTGGAGCCCTTGGTTTAAAATATTCTTTCGGATTTTAAAAATATAATTATAATTTTTTATGGTGTTATTTCCCACCAGGGTCAGAGCAGCCCAAATGCTGTTTGTTTTAATTAAACACCATCCTGCACTGGGCAGCTCAGGTTTTGAGGAACTCCCACTCAGCTTTTCCTCTCTCAGCATTGGATATAAAATCCCCTAGTGTGTCTTGATAGACTTGTGTCTCTATTTATGTTTCCAGTGGCAATGGGAGACACTTTTCCCTTTGAAGTCCCCAAGAGGTTGCAGATCTTGTGCTGTTGTTTCCAGATCCAGTGATTATCAGAGGGGATCTCTGCCACTCCCTGGTACCTGGGCATGCTGAGGCTTTCAGAGAGCAAAGCCAGGAACACCAGAAACCACTCACTGCTGGGAAAATGTCTGGAATTTGGAAAGCTCCAACTTTTCAAGCCTTTGAAAATTTCGGTCTCTGCTTTCATTGCCTTTGGAAGCTTTTTCTTTTATTATTAATTTTTTTTTGTTAATTTTTTTTGTTAATTTTTTATTCTTAAATTAATTTTTTTTTTTAGGTATTTTTTCTCTTCAATAAATTATTCCCTAAAGTACAGTCCTAGAGGCAGAAAAATGTTCATCGAGTTCAGGTTCACTGAAGAGCTTCAAACAAAACTGAAAGACAGTGGACAGTCAGGGTTGGACTCCAGGATTTTGGAGGTCTTTTCCAACCTAAATGATTCCATGATTCTGTGATTCCATCTACTGGCTTTTGGTGCTTGGGATATTTTTTAAAACAGGGAATAAAATGAAAATGGAGTGTTCTAGAAGTCTAGGAAGTTCTAGAAGAAGTAGTGACAAACCACTAAAACCAGTATTGCTTTCCCACATTTCCCATTCTGAATTTTCCTTCAAAACAAGGGATTTTGTTTGCAAAGAAAAATGGGCAGAATATTTTTTTTTAATTCCTTATTTTTCAAAGCTTGGCCTTTAACTCATATTTCTGCTCCTTTTGTTGTCTGTATTTCTCTCCTCTTGTGCTGCATCCAGTGCCTGGTGCAGTTTTGGGTTCCAGTTCCTCACCAAACCCTTTCTATCTCCTCAAAATATAATCAATATTTCAAAGAAATCTATTCAAATAACGAGCCCGAGTGTATCAAAAAGCAATTATCGAGTCTGTAAAGACCTGGGACGTGACAGACAGTCTTCAAAATGTTCACAGCTTTTAGAGTCTGGAATTCACCTGTTGGGGATTATCAGCTCTCATCTGTGGAAAACAAAACAAAGCTCAATTGATAGTGATTAATAACAGGCTAAACTTACAGTATAAACCTCTACAGCAGTACTTGAGTGGAGGATTTGATTTTAGTCCATTTCTGAGGGATATTGGCAGTTAAATAATAGGAAAGATCCTTTTTAAGAGCTAATTACAGGGCACTGAAGGGCTCCCAGTGCAGCACTGGTTCGCTCTGTGCTCCCATTCTGCCACTCCACAACTGCCACCCCTCATTAGCATTTCAATCAGAAGTATTTGGGCTTAAATAAGCTTTATTTCTGATTAATGTAATGCCGTGATTTTGTGTCCTTTTTAGGGTCTTTGGCTTAAAGTAGGAGAGCTTATGATAAGTACTGGAGATGTGGGAGAAGTTGATTAAATTAGTCGTGGAAATGGACGGGAGGAAACAGGAGGAAAAGTGCACAGATGAGCAAATTC